ATGTGAGTGTTCGCCGCCTCGGGCTCTGGAGAAGTGCCACACTCGTCTACGATAACCTGCCGGAGCTCAATGTTCTCCTGGCGGTGAGTTGCTCCCCGATTGGAACAGAGATCGGTTTGTCTCATGTGGCACTCCCAAAATGGGTTCTGTGCCCTGAAACAAAGTCTGAACCTGCTGTCTACGGCCAAACACCATGTCACCTATGGTGTTGTCCTGATTTCTCCAAGAACTCTAGAGGGAGTTCTATACTGATCATCTATTCAGGAAGAGGACTACAGCGTATCTCTGAATGCTCCTTCTCACGGCATCAATCACCAATGTAGGCAGGGCAATTGCTGAATTTGACTGCGGCCCTAAGCTTACTTCCATCACATGCCCCAAAGCAAGATTTCAACAATCAAAAACATAAAACTTGCAAGGAGGGCCCACGAAGGAAAGTCCTTTTTGGTCGGTCACTGGATGACACTGGTATTCTCATAGAGATGGATTCGACTGCCTTTGCAGCGGCCCAAACTCGCGGCTTAGCCCATGTTGAGAAATCCATGTCATGCACTAATCATCCGCAAAGCCCAGCATTCCGATGAGGTACTCTTTAAGCACCACAGCCTCAATCGCTGAGCTCATGCTGACACTAGACACTCTCTGTGGAAGACACCAGCATGCTACATCTTACCGCGAATCTACTACCTACCACAAACTAGAGCTCGCCATTAGAGCTCACCCTTCTGCTTCTTGGCATGATTATGCACTGCCTTGAGCAGTCCAAGACCTGAAGATTTGATCTCCTCCACATCTTTATCCTTCTTGTCGCTGCCCTCCTGGTACTGCTTCTGCAGGCCCTCCACGAAGGTCTTGAAGCCGGACTCCAACTTCTCAATCTCGGCCTCCTTGTCTTTGATCATGCTCTCACGCTTCGATGCATCAAGAGCCATGAACTCATCGAGCTGCTTCTTCTTCTCATCACTGCACAGCTCTGGGTTGGCTGGGCTGCACATGGGTCCCAGGCCCATGGCAAACTTCTGCAAATCCGCGAGAGAGCGGCCACCACTGTAGTCCTGAAGGTCATCCGGGTCGCCATACTTGATGGTCGGGTAGCCCCTGATCCCGATCTCTTCGCACTTGCTCTTGCCACCTGCGGTGCAGTCCACATCGGCAATGAGGATCGAGGAGGAGGATTCGTACTCCTTCATCAGCTTGTCCCAATCCTCTCGATCGGCCACACTTGCTGTTCACTTTGAATCAAGTGTGTGTGTGTGTGGCAACGTGATTGAGGTCGAAGTTGGATCGAAAACAATATCTGAGCAGTGTTCTAAACCCAGTTGTGGCCAAAGAGAAATATCAAATCCCTTCCGCGAAGGCTTCTGCGCAGCTTGCACGGCATGAAAGGTTCCTTCCCCAAGACATGCAAGAGGTTTGAAGAGGGATTCGCTTCCGCGTCGCTTCCGCGTCGCTTCCGCGTCGCTTCCGCGTCGCTTCCGCGGATTGAGAAATGGGATTGAAGCTCGTTTGTGCTTCCGCGCGTGAAGGAAAAATACAATTCCTTGCTTTCGTGATTGAATCGCAGCCCTTCCGCGAAGCTTCCGCGAGTACATAAATGAGAAACCCCTTCCGCGAACCTTGCGCGGCGCTTCCGCGATCTGGGAAAAGTCAACATTTTGAAAGCGATAATTCCTCCCGAATACTACTTTCAAGTGCAGGGGTTTTAGAGCGTCACTCTGGTGAGAATTGCTGCACAGCTTGCCAAGCGTCGGGCTTCATCTTCTTGCAGTGGCCTCACCATGGCGCCAAGAACTTCACGAAGACGGTCTTGCCGCTGACTGCAGCATCCCAATTCTCCTTGGTGAGCTCTTTGGCATTGGCCAAGGCCAAAAGGAGCAGCGCTACCTTCATATCGGCCAGCAAGAAATCTCTAAAGGCAACAGGCTTGGTCCAAAATCTCCTTCGGATAGCAGAGATGCTTAGTACTCAACAGACCACGCCCCTCGTCAAAGCCCCAAGCAGTGGTGAATATCACTCCGGCATGGGACGCCGCCGGGCCCACTTCTCCCCTCCAGATTTGCCCGTCCTAAACAAGCGACCGGCTTTCCGGAAATGAGGCATGGAGGCGCGGCAAGCCCAAACTCCAATATCCATCAACCACTGGACAAGCTGCAAATTCAACACAGGCGAACACACGCGTAACGACCCTGGATCCCAGATCCTTCTGGAGCATCTGCGGGATCCATCCACGCCGACAGGAGCAGTTGGTGGCCAGCAAGATGTTGCAGCCTGCCACGAAAAGCAAGCGCAAGCATCGTCATGGCTAACATGGATCCTGGAACATGGGTAGGACTCGGTAGGACAATCTTCTGCGACCGAAATGGACAAGCCACCAACTTGAAAGGAACGCGCATCGCCAAAGTTTGCACGTTTGCACGACGCCTCCAGTAATTACTCACCAAGAGGATCTACTGCGACCTGCTGAAACTTGCTGAGCTCTTACAGAAACACCACATGGTCGAAACCAAAAGAAAACCACTGGTTTTGGGGTTCAACTGCCAATGCTGGGCGGGTCGCACGCATGCCTGGCACAACAACACTCCAGATTCCCCGATCCCATGCAAAGGGGATTATCGGGCGGAGAAAGATGGGGGGGGAGAGGGGGGTGGAACCGCGGCAATTTTATCGCATGGCATCCGGGACAACTCAAAGCTTGTGCGGTTCCCCAGTCCGACCCCTCCACCTCGGTCCGAACCATTTTGGGGTGACGCAGCCATTCTGGGGGTCTGCCCCGCAAACACCCTGGACACATATGCAAAAACGAGAGGTGTGTCAAAACCTCAAAAACACGTCGAACAACCCGAACACATGAGACATGTAAAGTTGAGTGTGGAACTGTTGCGCTCGTTGCCCCTGCAAATATATTCACCTTGCAACCAAGCTGCTTTCACAAAGCCGAAGCATCCCCCCTAATTCAGCATCAAATGCAATGCACTGCTACAGGAGGTCCTTAAATCCAAAAAATACCCTCCGGTTTTGGCTTTGAAGGCAAACAATCTTGGTCAGGGCTTGTGGGCCCTGGTTGAACATATTTGTTGGTTGTCTTTGTACAGGGGGACAAAAAACATGGCTACTAGCGCCGCACCCGCCGGGCTCTCCACAGGAAGCATGTCGCTCCAACAAGCTGCAGCCCGACATGATGGGGGTCAACACCAATGGGATCCCAAAATAGCCATATTTACAAAGAAGGCTTCAGCAAGTTGCGCAGCAAACCTTCTGAATCCAGGTTTTTAATCTCGCATTGTCTAGGGGCGCACAACCCATTGCCAATTCCAGAACAGAATGGAGCATCTCCGGCTTTCGCCCATCTCGCTCCCAAGAAGGCATAAAAATCTCTACCTGAGCCCAAAACCCAGTGACGTCTGGTTCTATCAACAGGCTTTACTAGAACTAACCCTCAAACCAGGCAGTACTGTGGATGGACAAAATCCTGCCCCACCTAAGAAACCCTAGAATGATATGATCCCCTGTAAATTTCAACAAACAATGGTGTCCCATGGTGTCTTGGGAGGTGCGAAATGGATTTTGTCCATCCACAGTAGCACCTACCTATCGCCTGTGACCTGCCCAAGCACGGCAGGCGCGGCTCTGGAATTCCATGGCGCGAGCTTCTCGCCGAGCTTCCAGGTAAGCGCTCCTGAAATGGAGGGACTGCACAATCGGACCGCATCCGATGGATTTCCTACCTGATGGGCCTTAAGTATCCAACACTATGACGTTCAAACAGCAGAAAGTGCCCAACTCCCAACTCAGAGTTCTATTTATATCTCTTGCATGGTTGGTCCGTAGCATGGGCAAGATCTTGCACGCTGCAAATACCAGTGATGCTCAACCAGCGCGCTTCTAGAAGCGCCCCTAACAAAGCTGACTGTGTTCTACAAATGACATTATTTTAGGATGATACTTGAAGAAGATTCCAGGCGGGAAAGTTCCAGCATGCTCCAGCCCCTCCCTCTTCTCCAGCAGAAATCTCCCGAGGGCCTTCCAAGCAACTTTCCGTGGCAGACAGCAAACCGGAGACAACATAACGAGGCTCATGTCAATGACCCCAAAGCAAAAAACTACATCTGTCTGTATAAGCTTGAACAACGAGCATCTTACTTCAATACAACAAAAAAGAGATTTGTTGAGCTTGTGGTCATTCGTGAAGTTTGGATTGCGTCCGGCAGACCTGGTGCACATGTCAATGGGTTCTCATTCTGTTCCCCCTTGATCAACAAGGCTGAATAAAGCGCGCTGCAAATTGATTGCTTCCCTCATTGGTAATGTAAACTTCAGAGTGATCTGGGAAACCACACTGTTCGGGGATGGTTCCCTTCCATTTTAGAGGACTCCTCACCAAATTAATCCAAAGTTAATATCAGGTGTGTGGGTTGCTCTTCATCTTGGCGTCGCTCGGCGCAGTCTTTGTCGCGACTTCGTTGGAGGCGCTCTACCCCAATCGCTACCAAAGCCGGCTGCTAGCAGGCTGGCTTAATGGAGTCTAGAGAGGCCCGGTGCGAAGCTGCGAAGAAAGCGAGAGGCTGCGACGTCGACACGGAACGAGCATGGAAGCATCGAAGGCAAATACCCAAAGCTTCAATTCCAAACACTTATGAGAACGACTTG